TGGTTAGGTATGTGTGTCTGTGTATACATATATATACACATACATGTATACACTCATATACATTTATACACATATACATATATATTGTTTATATGTATATATATGTAGACACACATGTACCTATACATATGTCCCACATAGCTTCCTTTTCCTTCAAAATTTTTCTACTTTTTGTTTATACATCCCAAACATTTCTAAATAAACCTCTCCCCCATTCAGGGGTGTTCCCTTGAAACAAAGAAAAAGAGTTAAGTAAAATTAGCCAATACAGTCTCATGAAGGACAGCATGTGCAACATTCCCTATCTATCGTGCTTCATCCTCCCCAATGAAAGGAGGGAATTGTCTTTCCTCCTTTCCAAGACTGCTCATTAGTATCTAGCTTCATTTTTGTGTTCATTTACATTACTTGAGTCATTGTGTTGCATGACTTTCCTGCCTCTGTTTACTTCATTCTACATCAGTTCTATATACAGGCTGTCCCCAAAGTCTTAGTGCTATTATCTAAAGTATTAAAGCTCAATCACAGATTTATAGTAAGAAAGGATCTTAGATGGCAGCTGCATGATAGAGTAACTAGGATGCTGGACTTAGAATCAGAAAAACCTGAGTTCAAATCCAGCCTCAGATGCTTACTAGCTGTGTGACCCTGGGCAAGTCACTTAACCTCTGTTTGCCTCAGTTTCCTCATCTGTAAAATGGGGATAACAATAGCACTCACTTCCCCGTTGTTGTAAGGATCAAATGAGATCACATGTAAAGCATTTTGCAAACCTTAAAGAGCCTTACAAATACTCATTGTTGCTATTGTTATTATTATCATTATTATTTTAAAAAAAAAGGTCATTGAGTCCAACTCCCTCATTTTCCAGAGGAAGAACTAAGCCTAGAGAGGTTGCAGGACTTGCCCAGAGTTGCACAGCTAGTAAGCATCTGAGATGGGATTTGAACCCAGATCTTCCTGATTCCAAGTCCAGAATTCTATCTACCACAACACAAGATGTTCTGTTTTGCACATTGGGCAACATTTTGATAACTAGGTTGGTCACTGCTAGGCAGTTTTTCCATTTTTTAAAAAATCACCATGTGGCTATTATTCATTCCTTCAAGAAAAACTTATTAATCATTTACATTAATCAGTACTATGGGCTTGCCACTGTACAAGACACAAAGCTGTACAAAACATGGTCCCTACCCTCACAAAGTTTAGAATCTAAGGCAGATATGTAAATGTCTATAGCATAAAGCACGATGGAATGAGCGCCCTATGAGAAGCACAAACTAAATACCATAGAAGTCAAGGAAAAAGAATATTCCTGACCAGGTGACAAGAGCAGACATCATGACAGGGCTTACAAGTGACCTAGGTCTTGAAGAATGCGTCTGCAGGACCATCAGACCCAAGCTGTAGAGCTGAAAGGCACCTCAGAGGCATCTAGTTCAAATACTTTACTCTAGAGATTGAAGAAACTGAGGCCTCAAGTGACAGGCTAAGATCACAGACAGAAAGTAGGAAGCTAGGATTTGAACCTAGGCCCTCTGCCGCCAATCACTGCTCATATATTTGCAGGCAGGGGAAAGAAGAGGAAAAAAAGACACACTTTCCAGGCAGAGGGACTATCCCAAAGTCCCAGAAACAGGAATGGCAAATAGTCCCGACTAAAGGAGGAGATAGGGTAGGTTGGGGCCCAATGGAGAACTTGGAGCTTTAATTTCATTGAGTAGACAATGGAAACCAATGAAGGTTTTGATCAGGTAAGTGGCAATCACAGTGGTGATTTAGGAAGATTAAGCTAAGGGCCTTACCTGGGATCAACCTGGAGAGCTGGGGGATGAAAAGGAGGAGGAGAAGGAGTTTGGATCGTAGCTGTCAAGCTGGAAGGGACGCTACAGCCCATCTAGTCCAGTGATGTCATTTTACAGATGAGCAAACTGAGGCTCAGAGAGATTAAAAGAGTTTTCCACGTTTATACAGGTAATAAATTGCAGAGCCAGGATTAGTGAACAGTTGGGAGGTTATTCTAATAGTCTAAGCTTAAAGCAATAAAGGCAGGTAGGTGACACAGTGGATAGCGTGCCAGCCTTGGAGCCAGGAAGACTCATCTTCATGAGTTCAAATCCAGTCTCAGACACTTCCTAACTGTGTGACCACGGGTAAGTCATTTAACCCCGCTGGTTTCAGTTTCCTCGTCTATAAAGTGAGTTGGAGAGAAAATGGCAAACCACTTCAGTATCTGCAGAAAACCCCAAATGGGGTCACAAAGAGTCGGACACGATTGAAACTACCTAACAACAACAAGGTGGTAAGAGTTTAAGTTAGGATTGTGGTGTTGGGATTTTTCTTCCACAGAGAAAGAAAGGTCACAAAGTGAGAATACTATGCCAAAAATTCAGGTTTTTAAAAACCTAAAGTATCAAATTAGCTTTGGAGGCAGCTAGGGGACATAGTGGAAAGATCACTGGACCTGAGTTCAAATCCGAGTTCGGTCACTTACTAGATGTGTGATCATGGGCAAGTTGATTAATCACTATCTGCCTCAGTTTCCTCAACCATAAATAGTCATAATAATAACACATTTCCCAGAGTAGTTGTGAGATAATATTTGCAAAGTGCTTGGCACAATGCTAGGCTCTTAGTAGATGCTTAAGACTTTGTTTCCTTCCCTTCCTCTTTTCAGTGCACTCTTCAATGCTTGGCTAGGGCTTCCCAGGCCTCTCATAAGGCATTTGCTTATACGGAACCTGGAACGTTTCATGTCATCACTTCTTAGGAGGATCTAAAGGTCATCTAGTCTAAATACCCCATTTTGCAGCTAAAGAAACTGAGACACCAGGAGGAAAGGGGGTGATTTGGCCAAGGTCACCTCACCAGTAAGGATCAGAGATTGGATTTGTAACCCCGTCATTCGACTCCAACGCTTTTATTCTTTCCACTGCCCCACACTGCCTCCTTCATTACTGTTCTATGCCTACTCAAAACCACTGTCATTCCCGTCTACATTTGTCCCTGAAATGATACATTTCCCCATTCAAAAGGCTAAGCAATGAAGCAAGAATTTGACCCCAATCAACCGAAGGCTCTGCCTTGTCCTCGGTTTCCTTCAAGTTTTAATAACCTTTCAACATTGTCCCTGGAGCTCAGCCCTCTGAAATCTGAAAATCTGCTGTTAATAACCTGCCTGGCTGCAATGTTTTCCTTGCCTGATGACAAGCGTGCCTCTCGACCTCCACCCAGGAAAAGCGATGTGGACTAATCAGATAAGGCTAATGACTTAAAACACTTTGTCTTCCAGAAGGAAGTCATCTAGAGATACATCGTGGGGTGAGCTGCTGGCTGTCGGCATTTTGGAACAGCCGCATGGTATTGATTTTATGCTGATTCGCTCAAACTTCCATCATGATTTGGCTTGATCTTCATCAAAATGTGTAGCTCGAGGGGGAAAATGAGTTTTAGAGGATTTCAAAAAAATGAACTTGAGTCCAAAATGATTTATGACCTTCGAATTCAAGTGTTATGTAGTGAAAAACAGCCACTGCATGGGGAATCAAAATGTTTAGCATCCCTAAACCACAGGAAAGCCCTTTCCAGGTTATACATTACAATTTTTAAGTTGACAGCAGCACTGCTTAGGACTCAAGCTAATGTCTTTCATCCAAAGGACTAAGAATTTCTGGGACTGCCATGTTGTAAATCGCAGTTTCTCAGGACCTGGATTAATTGTTTGGCAGTCTGCTGACAACCATGAATTATGGAAGAAAAGCAAGAATCTTTGGGGAGTTTCTCAATGTGGGTCACTCTAAGTGGTGATTAAAGTGGCATATGTTGTTTGTGTGTGTGCACGTATGGGTGTGAGCACACATGCGCATTTGGGAAGCAAGAAAAAGAAGGGGAATGAAAAAAAAAAAAAAGAGCCACTGAAGACAAAACCTGTCGACCTTACTCCAGAAATAACAAAATTACAGACCCGGGCAGCCATGAAAATGATCAGGTTTGCTTGCCTTTCAGAATCATAGACTATCAGGGTCTGGCCCTCAGAGACCATCTATCCAATCTAACCCGTACTCGGAAGGGGTTTTTCTTTCCAACACACCCAGAGAGAACATCTCATTTTGATTGGAGACTCCTAATGAAAAGCCCACAAGCCTCCAAGGCAGCCCATCCCACTTTTAGACAGTTCTAACTGCTTTTCCTTACAACAAGCCAAAATGAAATGTTTCAAACTTTATTTTAATATTAATCAAATTGCTTAGTTCTCAGTCTGCCCCTTTGTGAAGTTATCATCATTCATCGGATCAAAGATTTTAAGTTGCAACAGACCTCAGAGATCAACTAACCCAATGTTCTCATTTTACAGATGGGGAAAGTGAGGCCCATGAGGATGAAATGACTTGCCAAACATGACCCAGGCAAGTAAATATCAGAGGTGGAATTTGAACCCAGGTCCTATGACTTGAGAGCCATTGTTCTTTCCACTTTACCACCTAGCTTTGTTAGCATCACCATCATTAATATTATTATTTTGGACTGTGGATTAATATGGCCACTTGAGTCATCCTCACAACTTTTCCCTTTGTATCCCCAGTGCTTGGCTTACAGCACTTGGCACACAGTAAGCACTTAATAAATGCTTTTCCATTCATTTTTCAACAATTCTATTGGATTTCAATTCAGACTAACTGATAACCTCAACCCACTTTAGAGGCATGCTGGGAGAATGAATGAAAACAGGCTGCCTTTTGTTCTGGAATCCTTGGGGAAAGGGACTGTAAAAATGCAGACATGTAAGAAAAGAAAATGCAAACAAATCACTCTGAAAAATGCCAAGAACATCAACTCGTAGCCCATCAAAATATTGCACTGATATTTTTGCAATCTTTTGCCCCAGTTACTACACGTCATCCACAGCTTGGTCAATTACCAGTGGCTAAAAAGTGGACTCTGATGTTGGAGAAGTGTGATTAATTGATCTCAGTAGTACATAATGAGTTTAAAGCTCCTACCTGGGTGTCCCCGGAGATGGTGGCTAGAGGCTGACAGCAGTTTACTGCATACCATTAGCACAGAGACCAGGAGGAGCCAATGAGACAGTAGCACTGATTTGGCAGAGAATCTCATCCTAAAAGCAGAAAAGGAAGGAGTTCAATGAAGGGGCAATACTTTAGGGGGCTATGAGACTGACAACACTAGGGAGGCAGGAGAAAACAGAAAAAAGCGATAGTCTAAAATTACCTGTTGGGGAGGAGAGAGTACCATCAGAGATGATAGCTTTTTTCTTTAAGGAACACCAATCAAATCTAATTTGTGGCTGATCTGACTCAATTTCTGAAAATCCATCTTAGAATTAAAAGGTTCAGAAGTGAATTCTATGCTTAAGTATTAAAATCAGCCCTGTTTTCCTGTGATCCAATTCAATGGCCTGATAATCGTATTTGGGTTAGATTATTTTTGAACAATGAATTGAGAAAGCTACATGCTTCAAAGCAGTTTCATTTAAATGCACACAGTTTCCATATATTTAAAAAAAAAAAATCTGAGGAAATGCTGAACACCCCTCCCCCACAAGCCGAGCACTTGTGAATGGAAAAGCCGGCTCTGAAAGCACTGACGTATGTTTCATTAAACAGGCCCTCAGGTTTGGTGGCACAGTTCAGCATTTGATATCTTGGGCAAGGACAGTAGCCATCAAATTATTTAGACTTAATGAATGGCCAATGTAGCAAGTAAAACTCTTCAGAGATCATGTGTGCTGGTCTGGTTCAGTTACCTGAAGGAAAAAAAAAAATGCAATGACCAGAAAACTTATTTTCTCTGGGCTTCACAAAATCTGGGATGGCAGAGGAGGATAACAGATAGAGCCTTGGCCTTGAAGTCAGGAAGAACTAGGCTCAAATAAGGCTCTGAAGCTCACTAGCTGTGTGACCTTGGCCAAAGCATTTCAACTCTATGTACCTCAGGCAACTCCTTACCACTTATCTAATAAGTCATAGACATTAGGAATCTGCCTTTTTGGAAGGAGTTTTCACACTGGGAGTAACCAAGTCACTGACTGACAAAATCACAGGACCTAAGAGTTGGAAGTGACCTCAGATGCCATGTAGTAACCAAAGTGAAGGTACCTTATCTCTTTAAGATGCTACAGTGGGATTATTCTGGATTCAGGTCTGCTTACACCAAATCAAGCATTCTCTTTCCACTGCACCACACTGTCCCTCCTGGCAAATGCCTTAGAGTTTTTTGTATCTTCCCCTATCCAGTCCCCTAGGTAGTCAATGGGAGCACATGGGGTTAATGAATCCATAAACAGTCATGACAGGACGCTACAGAGATGGCATACTGGGTCTGACTCTGATAGCGAATCATACTCCAGGTGAACCCCTCTGGGTTCTCTGAGAATACATCCAATAAGTCCCTTTCAGGAAATCTGGTACCATATCCATAGGGGGAGCCATTTTTAGCTTGGGGGAAAAGTGCAAAATAGCATCAGAGGAGATCGCCACTTCATAAAACTATCAAATGCCAGACCTAAAACCAGCAATCTCTTTGGGATTTCTCTCATTTAGTTAAAGAAACCTTATTGGAAAGGTGCCATACTGCATTGACCAGAGATCCCTTTCATTATTTGAACCTACAGACAAACAAGATTTTCAGCTTGTCGTTAAAAAAAAGTATGTGTTAAAGGTAAACCATGGTAAAACCATGGGTTGGGAACATGATAATGTCTTCAAGTTTTTCAAAGGTTGTCATACAGAAGAGAGATCAGATTTGTTCTGCTTTGCCCCAGAGTACACAACCAGGAGCAGTGGTTAGAAGTTGTGAAAAGGCCATTATAGGCTAGATAGCAGGAGAAAAAAAAAAAAAACTCGCTAACAATTAGAGCTCTCCCAAAGTAGCATGGGCTCTCTCTGGAGGTGGTGAGTTCCCTCTCCTCAGACATCTTGAAGAAGAGAATGGATGACAACTTGTCGGATGTTATCAGTTATAGGATGGACTAGACAGCTGCAGAGGTCTCTCCCAGCTCTCTATAATTCTGTGTAATGTGAATTCATTATTTAATGGCCCTTAGACCTTCTCCTCCGGTTATATGCTGGTAAATATTTAAGAACAGACTCTCTGGGGAAATAAAATGTACATACAAGACACTTTTAAGTTTAATAAGCATTATTAACATTTTCTCCATCATTGTATTAATTTTAGACAATCAATAAAACAATAAATCAAGTCTTGATTTGTAGTATTTGCTGATTTCCAAGGTGTAAATGCTCACACTAAAAAAATTTAACAATCTGTTCTCTCGAACTGCTCGAAGCAGGCTCTAACACACCCTTGACGTTATCTGACACAAGATTTCAATTTTCAGATGGGAAAAATGCTCTCACAAAACGGTTATGCTTTCCCCAGGTTAAAATGAATGTTGTTTAGCGAGAATCCCAGGTCTTTACAACTCATATCTCCATACAACTCTTTGTAAACTGAAAGAAGTCCAAAAGATTAGAGCCCAAAATAAAAAAACATGAGCCCCAAAGCCCCAGAATCCTAGATAAGAAGGAGACCTTTAGAAAAGATGAGCAGAGCCCCAGAAACACTCACATATGCCAAATTCTAGTATTTAGAAAGTGCTATCTCGATGTCACTGTTAAAAGTCATCTTACCTTGGGGACTTCACAAGAATTGGATTCCAGTCAAACACAATTATTCCAGAAGGCGTTTCAGAGCAGCTCCAAATTTCCATTTGCAGCTAGACTCAACCATTGCTGCGATTCACAAATTTCTCTTCACTTGAGAGACCTATTACCTATTAAGGAAACCCAGATAGACAGCAATTAGAATTTTGAATGTTGATATGAAACAGATTTCTATTAGCAAAGTAATTGTTTTATGACACCTCCTCCTGCTCTAAGCAAGGATCTTCTTGGTGTCTAAGCTGTTCTAACACAGAGAGGGAAGTAAGATTGGATTTTAAAATACATTATGTTAGCTAAATATTAGTTAAGAACTACATGATATGACATTAGCTGAATTCCTCTCAAAAAATAGAATCCTAAAATATTGACATTTTGGCAACCCAATCAATAACAGTAAAAACACGTGATAAGTAACACTCTAGGGTTTGCAAAGCAAAATAAATACTACGTTATATTTTTCTTTAATCCATCATAGAATCATATACTGTTAAAGGGAAGCAGGGGCAGCTAGGTGGTACAGTGAATAGAGCTCCAGCCTTAGAGTCCAGAGGACCTGAGTTCAAATGTGACCTCAGATACTTGACATTTACTAGCTGTGTGACCCTGGGCAAGTCACTTAACCACAATTGCCTCACCAAAAAGCAAAAAAAAAAAAAAAAAAAGGAGAAGCAGCATGGTACGGTGGGAAATGTATAGGACTGAGTGGTGGAGGATGAGGGTTCAGATCCTCCCTCCAGCACTATTAGGTGATTTTAAGCAAATCTCAATTTCTCTGTCTTGTTTTCTTCATCTATAAAATAAAAGGGTGTCCCTTCTAAATCAGTGTTCCTATGACCTTGTAGCTTTCTAGTTCAATCTTCCTAATTTTCCAATCAAGAAATAATAGTCTACTCCTCTAGAGCACTTTATAATTTGCAAAATGTTTGACCCATCATCTCATTTGATCTTCACAACAGCCCTAGAGGGTAGATACTCTTATTATCCCCATTTTGTAGAAGAAGAAATTGAGGTTTAGAGAAGTGACTTGCCCAGGATTACAGAGCGAAACAAGTTGTCATCCTAAGTCTTTTTGTCCAGTGATCTAGAACCCAGGTTTCCTGACTCTTAGTCCAGCAGGTGTAAAATAAGCAAGATTTCCAGGATTACAATATTTTAAATATTTTACAAATATTTTAAAAGAGAAGAAAGAGGGGAAATATTCTTAATTTGACAGCCCTCTGACATATAAAAGGCATTATTATCTCATAGATCCAGAACTGTAGGGGCCTTAGAACTCACCTTGTCCCATTCCATCATTTTACAGATGAGGAAGTTGGGACCCGGGAAATTTAAGTGATTTCCTCAAAGATCCACAGGTAGTAAATATCTGAAATTGGATTTGAACTCAGATCCTCTGTTTCCAGAGTCAGTGTTCATGCCCCTCACCGTATTGCTTCCCTTTAAATGCTATCAAGTCACAAAACATCTGTAGATGGTCTTTCAAACAACTTTCTGATTTACAAAGGGCATTTTTTGTAAGTGACACCAAATAGCATCTGTTGCAAACTCCTCAGAAAATTAAAAAATGAAAGTGTCTCATTTTTCCTGTTGCTGATTCATATACATTCCTTTAGTGGTGGAGATTTGAAAGAAATAATGATTTGCAGCCATGCATATTAAAGTTCCAAATGTGATCAAGAATTAGCCTTTGAAATACATTTTAATTACTTTGAAATCCCACTGCATACATCCCAAATCCACTCCCAAGAATAACTAGGATTTTCTCTTCTTTCAGAACACCTGAAGATGATTTAAGAAGTTTGCCCACCAAATACTTTCTGCAGAAGAACCAACCTACTAAGCATTGCACCCCCTTTCAAAGAGCTTGAGTGATTGCCTCAGAAACAACAAAGGAAAAATGTCCTTTAAGAGACACATGGAGGGGGATAGAAACAGAGAATTTGGAAAGGAAAATAACATTTAAAAAATTAAAAATAAAAAAGGGTCAAATGGGCTTTTCTAGCACCATCCTAGAAACTTGCATCTCCCTGGCCCTCCTCCTTTGTTCTCGATGTTTGTTCCTTTCTGTACCCAAGGGCACAGTCTGACCTTCTACTACCCAAAATGAAATGCACAGGATAATTCATCAGATGCAGCCATAATGAACTCTTCACTTCTCAGAGACTAAAGTGACCTTTTCTTGCTAATATTTGTCTTGTTTTCATCATACTAAGGAAACCACTAGGAATTCCTTTTTTTAATTTATTGAGGGAAAAAATGGATCCATCAGTAAAAAGAAATGTGGTCAAATGGTTTGAACCCCAGACCAGGGGGTGCTAGCAGTTTAATTTCAACCCTCACTAACCCTCATTCAATCAAATTGTCCCAGCCTGCCTATTAGGCAATTTCTTTGAAAGGTTCATTCTTTCACATCACTTTTAAACATTTAGTAACTGATGTCTCCCCTGAGCCCTGTTTCAATGTCTCATTGTGGCAAAGGGGTAACTCCAGGTCCTTTAAGGCTCTAACAACCCTGCAGAAGCTTCAGCAAGTCCTATCAAGCTGCAAAGACTTCAAAAACCACTCATCAGCAGATTATGTGTCTTCCAAGGACCATGGCAGTTCAGAGAGCCTCAGCTTCAGAGGCCTGGTCATCAAGTGGTATTTTTGTTGTTGTTCATGTTAAGCTTCTACATCATCTGCTAAGAAATGAGATATCTGTGATCAGCAAGAATATTCACCGGTCAAAACAATCTGGTACTGGCTAAGAAACAGAATGGTTGATCAATGGAACAGATTAGGTACAAATTACATTATAGCAAATGACTATAGTAATCTAGGATATGATAAACCCACAGATCCAAGTTTTTGGAACAAAAGCTTTTGTCATTTTTTGACAAAAACTGCTGGGAAAACTGGAAAACGGTATGGCAGAAACTAAGTAGAGATCAGCATCTCACACTGTATACAAAGATGAGGTCAAAATAGGTGCATGGTTTACATATACAAGGTGATGCCATAAGCAAATTAAGAGACCATGGAATAGTTTATCTGTCAGATTTGTGGATAAGGGAAGAGTTTAGGACCAAAAAAGATATAGAGAGCAAAATTGATAATTTTGGTTATATAAAATTAAAAAGTTCTTGCACAAACAAAACCGATATAATCAAAATTATAAGGAAAGCAGAAAACTGGGGGAAATTTTTTTGCAACAAGTGTCTCTGATGAAGGCCTCATTTTTCAACTATATAGAGAACTGAGTCAAATTTATAAAAATATAAGTCACTGAACAGGCAGTTTTCAGACAAAGAAATCAAAACTATCTATAGTCATATGGGAAAAAATGCTCTAAATCACTATTGATTAGAGAAATGCAAATTAAAACACTTCTGAGGTACCACTTCACACCTATCATAGTGACCAATATGACAAAAAAATAAAATATTGGACATTGGAGGGCCTGTGGGAAAACTGGAATACTAATTCGCTGTTGGTAGAGTTGAGAACTGATCCAACCATTCCAGAGAGCAATTTGGAACTATGCCCAAAGGGCTACAAAACTTTGATCCAGCAACACCACTGCTAGGTCTGTATCCCAAAGACAACAAAAAAAAAGGAAAAGGACCTATTTGGACAAAAAATATATATGTATAGCTGCTCTTTTTATTGTGGCTAAGAGTTGGAATCAAAGGGATGCCCATCAATTAGGGAATGGCTAAACAAGCTGTGCTATATGATTATAATGGAATATTATTGCACTGTAAGAAATGACAAGCAGGATGATTTTAGAAAAACCTGAAAAGACTTACATGAACTGATGCAAAGTGAAGTGAACAGAACCAAGAGAACATTGCTCAGAGTAACAACAATATTGTTCAATGAAGAACTGTGAATGACTTAGCTGTTCTCAGCAATACAATGATCCAAGATAATCCCAAAGAACTAATGATGAAGCATGCTATTGGCCTTCAGAGAAAGAACTGATATGGATTGAATATAGACTGAAGCAAGCTATTTTTCATTTTTTTCTTTTCTTTTTTTCTTTTGAATCTTCTTATACAAAATGACTAATATGGAAATGTATGTAATTGCACATTTATAATTATATCTGATTGCTTACCACCTCAAGGAAGGGGAAAGGGAGGGAGGGATGAGATTTGGGACTCAAAATGTTAAATAAAAATGCTTAAATTTTTTTTAAAAAGAAGAGTACTCTGTGGGACAAAAAAAAAAATAATATTCCCCAGTGAAATCAGAAAAGACTGAAGAATTAACACAGTACTTTGTGGTTATCATTTTCTAATTACTGCCAAAAAATGGATCACTTACAAGGTTAGATGCAAGATTTCAAGGGGGTGGACTTTTTTCCTCTCCTTATACGCTACAGCTGCACGCGGTTTCTTGCTATCCCTTACACAAGCCCTTCCATTTCCCCACTCTGCCCTTTCAAAGGTTGGCCCCAATGCCAACAAATGCTGTCCCTCCTCACCTTTGCCTCTCAGCTTCCTTCAAAATGCAGCTCAAAACCCATAAGACTTTCCTTGGTCCCCACCCCCCATTATTAGCACCTTCCTTCTGAGATTATCTCCCATTTATGCTGCATATATCTTGGTCATTTGTATGTTGTCTTTCTCATTAGAATGAAAGCCTCTTGAGGGGAGAGACCATTTTGTTTTGTTTTGTTTTTTGACTTTCTTTGTATCCCTAGCACTTAGCACAGTGCCTGGCCATAGTAAGCCAGTATAAATTAATGCTTTTTGATTATATGAATTAGGGGAGAGGAAGTGAAGTCAATGAGTATAGATAGCTTTTTCCAGGAGTTTGGCTATGAACAGGAAAAGAGTTAGGATAATAGCCTTGGGTATTTTTTTAAAGATGGGGGACACAGGCATGTTTTTGAACAGCAAGGGACAAGTCGGTAGAAAGGAAGAGATTGAAGATTAAAGGAGGGGGGTGATTGTGGGGGCAATATGAGAAAGGAGGTGGGAGGAGATATAATTAAGCATACTAGCCTGGATGACCAATATCATGGATCATAAACTTAGAGCTAAATGGAACTCAGAGGGCA